TACAAATCTAACTAACTGTCAAAAACATTAATCAAACTCTCACCACTTAGAAATAGCTCAGTGGCGGAGCATTGGGATCCACCCTCGTATAAAAAATAAAACACAGTATTTTTAGTAGCTACAAACACCATTTCGTCAAATTTCCTAATTAAATAATTTTACGGATTCACTTGAAAAGTTCATTGCAAACACGCTTGACCTCTTTTTACGATAATAGAGTCTCGAGATATTTTTGGAATTGTAGGTTGACATTTTGCAATGATTTCTATAACTATTTCTTTCTAGCGTAGGTCGAGAATATATTAAAATTTTGCAAATTGTTTTGATTTCGTAACGAAAACACTTCCCTTTTAAAAACAGCGATAAATAAAGATAATATACAGGGTGGTCCATACCGATGGTTTATCGAAAAAATAGAGATTCTTTCTTAGATAAAATTTTGTTTACTTTTTTTTACTGAATAGTTTTTTGTAAATATCTAAACAATTATTTGACCGATTTTAATGATACTTTTACAATTTGTTGACAATTCTAAGAGGTGTCTTTAGGATATGTTACAATTGATTCAGTAATTCCAAAGGCGTGCTTATAGGGCACAAAAAATATCGCTTAGTAAGATTTTTGTCTCCTATTTTTTTTGTATTGTCATGAATTCCTAATCCGACCCTGTATACGCACGCAATCAACTCGTGATCAAAGCAACGCTGACGTGTGGAAACAGCCGGACCGCATCGCGAATACGACGGAATGTCTGCCGCTGATGCACTGGAAGCGACTGGAATGGCGGAGAGTGCCGCTTAGTCATAAAAAGGAATGTTCGAAAGTCTCTCGTATCTTCCAGTAGAGTTGGACTAATATAAATAGCCGACGTATCAGCTCCGAGTTTAGTTTAATATAGAACGTTGTATTGAATAGTTAAAGTGTAAGAAATAAATTAGAATTGTTAGTGTCTAAATATTCTATAAATTAAATAGTACGTCTGAAATAAATTGTAAATAGTGTGTTTTTAAATAAATAAACTTTAAATAAATTAGACTTTCGTCACAGTATGTTACTTTGTTTCCAAGGAAATAATTGAAACCAACAGTTTTGTGCATATCTGAACCCACTACATAAATAATAAAACAAAATTGGATCATAGTTTATTTTTTGATCAACTCTTAGGTAGTGAAATCTTAACAATATTAACTGGACCTCTGTGTATATTAAATATTGCCAATTATTTTGATTTCGCAACGAATACACTTCCCTTTTTAGATACAACGATAAATTAAATATATTTATAGCATATTAACGCGAACATAATGAATTTAAGAAAATTAGGTAACCTTGGTTGCATCAATAGAAAAATATGGGTAATGAAGCTGAACAGAGTTTTCAGATATCTAAAGACAGAATCAGTAATTAAAGTATAATTAGACTTCATACTTGCATATTAGTGTGATTAATGGTTTAAAAATAGTTTTTAATTAATATACATACAGGGTGCACCATGCCTAATGGGACGGAGCCTGGTGGGTCAACTGCAAACGATATTAAACATTCCTTTGGCACGAATATACAACTTAACGGTGACTACAAATTAAAATTTCATATATACAGGGTGTCCCAAACTACAATTGGTACCAATATTAAGGTATATATTTTTTAATAGAAAACTCTATATTTTATTTTAATTTTAAGTTCAACTTTTATAATAAAGATTGCCTATACCTATCTTTGATAATTTCTGATTTATTTAACTTTTTTTTTTAAATTAAGTGCAGTAAAAATTTATTATATTTGATTATAAAATAATTAATTGAAATTTCCTTAGAAAATGTAACTTTTTATCAAAATTAATAAAATGTTAAAAAAATGGTCTTTGAAATTTGAAGTTTTATTGCAGTGAAGTGTTTTATTTAATCAATGCGGTAACTTAAATGGAGTACCCTGTATTTTATGGTACCAATACGAAGGAAATTTTATTTACTTTAAAAGTTATAAGGTTCTATATATCCATATCTACTATTTTTAGTGATGAAACAATTTGTCAAAGCTCTAGACAAAAATGGTGGTTGCTTTAAGTACTTGTGTGAAACATTTCCGGGTTTCTCTGAAGCTAAATTAAAGGAAGGCTTCTTTGTTGGGCCCATTAGGCCACAAATAAGAAGGTTGATGAAAACTAATGAAATTGAGACGGTTATGCAGGAAAACGATAGAGAAGCATGGACAGATTTTAAACAAGTTATTAATAAGTTTCTAGGAAACTACAAAGACTCTGAATTTGAAAGTATTGTTGAAAACATGTTGAACAAATTTAGAAAGTTATGCTGTAACATGAGCTTAAAAATTCATTTTCTACATGCTCATCTTGACTATTTTCCGGATAATCTTGGCGATGTTAGTGAAGAGCAAGGAAAGCGCTTTCACCAGGACATAAAAGAGATGGAACGGTGATATCAAGGGCGCTGGGATATCAAAATAATGGCCGACTACTGTTGGATGCTTCATCATCATCTGAATTAGGGCGTGGTTCAAAGCCCACTTGTACTGAAGCTCTAGGCTTATTGTACCCCTCACATTTTTTATCCCATCAGATTGATTTTCTTGATGAATTCAAGAATATGTCTGATGGGCGCTTTCGCGATTTCTTCAGGTTCCGGATATTGTACCCCGAAGTACCATTCCCGTTCCCATTTAAGGTTCCGGCAGTGGCATAGTATGTGAATAGGAGTTTCGTCCTCCTCTTCACATATTTTGCATAGGGAGTCATCAGATATCCCTAAGAGATTTAGGTGTCTTCTAAGGCCGCAGTGTCCCGTAAGGAGTCCTATTACGGCCTTGAGTTCGCTTCTGCTAAGGTTTAGCAGTTGATGTTGTCTGCTCGTGGATGGCCCCTCTATGAATCTTTTGGACTGTTTAAGTCCAGGAAGTTCCATCCAGAGCCTATGGTGTTCTCTTTTTATTTGTTCCTTTAACACCCATTTAACATGTTGGTATGAGATACCACATGTGGGTTCTGGTCCAATAAGAGTTTTTTCCTCTCCCTTCCATGCTAGGAGGTCTGCTTTCTCGTTTCCAAACACTCCCTCATGTCCAGGCACCCATTCAAGGGTAACCTTGTTATGTTCTGCCAGAGCCTGGAGGGATTGTTGGCAATCAAATATTGATTTAGATTGTACTTCTACCCTTTTTAGTGCTTTAAGGGCTGCCTGACTGTCTGTCATGATAACAATTCTCTTATCTCTAAGAGAATCATTTAGCATGATTTTGGCGCAGGCATTTATTGCTGTTACTTCAGCCTGGAAGACTGTTGTCAGTGACCCCAGGTTCAAACTAATTGTCCTCCCTGAGTTCACATGGTAGATCAGCTCCTGTGCTGCTTTTCATTTTCGAACCGTCTGTATACCAGATTGATTCGTTTTGTTTTTCCCTTTTTTCCCGGCTTTTGGCCCTTTTTGGTATTTGAATATCAAAAGGTTTCCTGAAGTCGTGAGTAATGGGCGTTCTATCCGATGGCATTCTTAGTACCGGATTTTGTTTTAATTTCTCTTATATCATTGTGTGGTGTCCTTTTCTCGAAAGTTCCCATCCAAATCCATTAGTAAACAGCCTGTGTGCCGCCGCCATAGCCTCCTTCTCTACCACAAGGTGTAGTGGAGGAAGACCTAGCAGTAGCTCCATTGCTGCTGTGGGCGTAGTTCTAAATGCCCCTGTTGGATGCTTAAAAGGGACTTTCCTACCTCAGAATATGCACGAAAAACAACAAAAATAAGCTTTTCCGGAAAGAGAGAATTATTTTTCAAGAAAACAAAGGAATAATGTATGTTATTTTTTAACTACTTCCCCGGTTTTATTGTTTGTTTTCTTGGTTTATTATTTTTTTTTTTTTTATCCTAAGTATCTATAAATATATTTTTACTTTTTGCATTCTTGTAGTATTTTGTTTAAAAACCTTACGTGATAGAAAAAAACTAAAAGCAGATTGAAATCGTCGTCACTGAAATACCCAATTTCAGTTGAAAAGTTCAATTCACATTTTACAGATTATTGAGAGTGTAATTAATAATCTAATAATAATCCTCTACTATCATCGAAATAAGTTTATTTATCTAGAAAGAACTATATTGTTTAATAACTTGCGATAAAAAGATTTCAAACTTCTAGTGTAAACTACCTTTAATTTAATTTTAACACAAGTTTCGTGCATATACCCAATATAAGGTTTCTTAAGGAAGATTAAATTGTGAAATATGTATTGCATTATGCGATTAATATCAATATCGTAACTAATAAGTTCATATAGCTCGTAAAAGAGCACTAAATATTAATGTATTTGAATTATTACAGCAATAGTAATCTAGCAATGAATATTGTTTTAGTTAATTCAGCGTACGTTTGATACGTTGATTATTAAGGTGGTCAATTCCATAAATAATAAGCGTTATTAACAACGTAACCCTTTCATAGGTATAATGGTAGTCAGTAGGCACCTCTATTTCTATGGTAGGCACGGTAGGCACACAAAGTAAATCAATATTCCAGCGTTCTCTGTAGAAGATGCAAATACTTTGCTAGAGGCGCACCTAACAGTGAAACGATCGATGAGGATTGAGGACGTCTTCAAAAAGACAGAAAATGTTTCCACATTGGTAACTATAGATAACCTATAACCTAAAACGCAAGGCGCATATTTTCTTTCTGTGATTAGTAAATATCGTTTGCTGCAAGACAGCTCTAGCAGCAAGCAATAATGTACTAATGTATTTCAAGAAGGTTGGAGCAAACCTTCTTCTATTAACTTGTCTACACAAGCTTTCGTAAGAGGTCATCATTAAGGGACATATCGCTGCAAAGGTGTAAGAATAAACGAAATATTTGTCATTTTGCCTTTCGAAAATAAGACACCTAAAAGTATCAATTATGAAGACTAGTCTTCATAGTATTAATGGCTTCCCCACCAATAAACGAACAAAAATGACATTTGCAATTCTGTAGTGTAATTAGAATTCAGGGTAGGAAACATTACAACAATTTCGTAGAGAAAACTAGGATTTGTGCATGAGTAATAGAAATCGTCAATAACGGGTTAAATCTATAGTCCAATAAAATTTTTGTACAATGATCGACAAATCAAGACTTGAAATTTGTTGATAAGCCTTAATTCATTTAGATATTTACGTCTTTACGTCAAAACCACTTGGTAATTTTAGCATTAGTGTCTCATCAAATGTCGTAATATCACCTCGTTTGTCATCTAAATTTTAAGTGTTTCATTTAAATCCCATCATCTAAAAAAACAACTTAAAAATGGTAACACATATACGCAAGTTATTTGAAAGATTTTTCATTCAATTTTATACCTTTTTCAACATACATTTCTTCTTGCAGGTTTTCATAAAATGTCATCCCTGTTAGAAGCCCTCGAACAGAAATATGGAGAAAGTTCGACAGACTCGGATGGATCTGAAGACGAGGGCATCTCTGTTTCCATTTTCGTGCCTTGCAAGTCTCCAAGGGCCATAGTACCCGCCCTTTTAGTACTCAACGACTGCGATATAGCCACTGCCGGTGAAAAAGAAGCCTTGGTAGCTAAATGCGCTGCTGTAGAGGAGCTGGATTTGGCCAAGAATAAGCTACAGGAATGGCCGGAGGTGAGATATTATAAATTTAGTATTTGAGAAGTATTAATTTAAAAAAATCTTCTCAAGCAATTATTAATAACAAAGTAATAGTGTGTTCAAAGAAATTCTTTTTTAAATATTTCATATTGCTGGAACTAGTTTTATCTAATACGGTGAAAACGGATGCAAAGGTAAACATGATAAAGTTCTCCATTTAGAAAGAAAATTAGACAAAAACCTGAAGAACAATCTGAATAAAGACGACAATAAAACCGTCTTACTAAGAATTGCTCCAGTCAAAATTCGTGGACCAACAGCAGAAATTGAAACCTTTGCTTGTTCTAAGATGTTGCAGAAAGTATAGGCTTAGCCGGACCCACACTTCCTTCGTGCTTCCAGTGGACTAATGGTATAGTTCATTTTAAAGATAACTCTAAGCTAGTCACTTTAGATATATCATCTGCAAATCTAAATCCAAACTACTACAAGATGAATAGAGTAAGAACTGTGAAGACTTTAAAGCTTCCAACACAAAGTATTAACGTTGAAGAACTGTATCTTAAGTTTCCTTACCTCGATTCTACCATTATAAGTCCATAAAGAGCACTATTCCCTAAATATTAATTGGACAAAATAATTACGGCCTTATTGTCCGTAGACAGATTATTTAACCAAATTTGCACACTCCTGTAATGAGTATATCTAGACTAGAATGGACCATAAGTGGTTCTTTCAATTTTAATAAAAAAAATCCTAGACACATTAACCTTTGTTGCCAGCATTTACAAGATCTTCACATTCTTGTTAAAGATAGCTTTAAACTTGACTTTTTCGGTTTAAAATCTGAATCTACAGTTAAATCTGTCGAAGATCGGAAAGCAGTGGACATCATGAAGAAAACGTTAACTAGAATTGGCGATCGTTTTGAAATAGGCCATTTATGGAAAAACGAAAATACTATTTTACCAGATAGTTATCCCAACGCCTATAATCGTTTACTTTGCATGGAGAGGACTGATTTTGCAGTGCAGTACTGTCTAAATGATTTTTTGTGGTCCTGATTATGTGCCTCTAGAATTAAGATCACCTTCTCAAAGTTAAACAAAAATTAATTCAGAAAAAGTTGAAAGAGTGCTTGGATTGTGTTGGTTTCATAAATGTGATGAATTTATTTTCTCTTTAAATTGTGAAAAAATTCCTTCCGAAACAAAGATACTCTTTAGGTTTTTTAGCTCCAATAATAATTCAGGCACGCATTCTAATACAAGAAGTATGGAAAGTGTCTATAGATTGGGATACATGAATTCCTGATGATATTTTCGTTAAATGACAAAAATGGTTGTTAGATCTCCAAGAAGCAATGCCTGTTAAGATCCCTAGATACTATTTCCCGTCTATTTCTTATGTTTCTGCGGTTACTCTTCATTTACTTTCCGACGCTAGTGAAAAATCATATTCTTCTGTAGGTTACATTGTTTCTGGTACCCCAGAAAATAAATATGTTTCTTTCATTAGCTCAAAATTCAAAGTTGCTCCCACAAAACAACGAACCATCCCAAAGCTAGAACTTCAGGGTGCTGTTTTAAGTTGCAGGTTAGACAAAGCGATTTGTAATGAAATCGAATACAAAATCGACCAAGTCTTTTACTGGACGGATTCCATGATTGTTTAAAAACAAATTCGGTCTCAATCGCGACGATTCCCAAGCTTTGTTGCATGTAGGATAGGGGAAATAAAAGAGGAAACAGATATCTTTCAATGGCGATGGGTTCCTTCCGAAAGAAGGTAAAAATGTTGATCTGGATATTTGGCTGCAAGGTCCAGAATTTCTTAGATTTTCGGAAGATCTTTGGCCGAAAGAACTGAATTGGAAAGCGAAAATGTGGTATATGTTATTACAAAAGATCCCGATAAAATATTTGTGTTGCCTGATATAAATAGATTCTCCAACTGGTCTCGTTTAATTCGTTCCACTGGGTAAATCTTAAAATTTAAAGATGCTCTACTTTCCCAAGTTTCTGTAAAATCTAAGAAAACTGTAAAACACTCGGTTTCTAAGCAGAATTCCTAAATCCTTGATATAAAATTTATAAATGAAGTATCTGTTCTTTCGAAAAATAACTATATCCCCAAATCTAGTCGTCTTTTTAAATTGTCCCCATTTATAGATGAGGATGGAATTCTAAGACTCAGTGGTTGGTTTCCAGATACAGATCTGAATTTAAGTCATGATTCTCGATTTCTTATAATTCTTGATCCGAAAAACAAGTATACAGAATTGCTTATTGATTACTGCCATAAACAAGCAGGGCATATTGGTGTTGAAACTGTAATAAATAACCTTCGAATGAAATTCTAGATTTTACACATTCGTTCGGCTGTTAAAAAAATTTTTTCTGAGTGTCAGTTCTGAAAAATTATGAACTGTAAACCTCTTACCCAGGAGATTGGTCTCCTGCCTTCCGTGAGATTAGAACAAAATGTGTTTCCCTCTACATATGTCGGCATTGATCTCTTAGGTCTCATGAATGTTTCTATAGGGCGTAGAACAGAAAAACGCTACGTTGTTCTTTTCACATGTCTGACCATAAGAGGGGTTCACATGGAATTATTTGCGTCTTTAGAAACTAGTTCAATCATTATGGCCATTCGTCGTTTCTGTTGCAGAAGAGGACAGCCTAAGGAAATTTGGGCAGATAACGAAACCAATTTTGTATACTCAGAAAAAGAGTTAAAGGGTTGGTTTAACTCATTCGATCACCAAAAGTTCTCAGATATTTTAAGCGTTCAAGGAACACGCTGGAAATTTAACTGTCCTCTAGCCCCAAACATGGCTGGTGTGTGGGAGCGAGTGATAAAGTCAGTAATGAGATCTCTACAGGTAACTCTTAATACTGTAAAACCAAAAGAAGAGGTTCTTCTAACTTTACTTCTTGAAGCTGAATATAATATCAACTCGCGTCCCCTGACCCGTATTTCAGTCGATCCTATTGACCCTGAAGCAATTACTCATGACCATTTTTTATTGCTAAGATCTGGCCTAATAATCTAGTAACGAAGAAGCAGTGGATTTTCGCACAAACTCTAGCGGATCTGTATTGGAAACGTTGGGTTCAAGAATATAAACCAAGTCTTATTAATCGCCAAAAATGGCATCAAAAGGGTACATCCATTAAGACTTCAGATATAGTAGTTATCGTTGATGAAAAATCACCAAGGAACGAATGGCTTCTAGGAAGTATCGAAGAAGTATACCCTGGAAAAGATGTGTAATTCGAGTTGCCAAGGTTGTCACCACGAAAGGTACTTATAGTAGGCCTGTATCAAAATTATGTGTTCTTCCAGTTTCTTAAACAAGTAAATGAAGATCCTTCACGGGGTGAAGAATGTAGAAAATATATTATTTAAGTGCGCCTATGTAATATTTTAATTTTTTATGTAGTAGTTTATTAATGTCACTGGGATAATAATTTTTTGAATGTTCATGTCAATTACTATGTAACATATTTCAAGTTTAATCGTAGTTAAACTTAATATTTGGCTTAGATTTATTATTTCACGTGTATTTGCAAAAGAAAAAAATCGACTAATTATTGAAGATAACAAAGGTTACATTTCGTTATTATTTTTTGTTTAGCATTTTTCAAGGCTATTATTTCGTTTTCATTATGATATTGTATTGTTTTTCTATATTGCGCCTAAAAATGTTTATATTTCCAGATCGAGATTAAAAATGAATAATAAAAAATACCGAAATGATGAAAGAATGCAACGCAATATGTTCTTACGTGTATATTTTTGTTGAAGTGAACTTTATCATAATAATTAGCACGAGTCAGTGATCTTACGAGTCCTACAATTTCCTCAGTCTGCTGCAATTGATAATTGTTTCGAATTTAATTGAAATTAAATTCACGCTTCTAATACAGGGTGTTCCATTGCATAATACACATACGGTAATGGCAGATAGAAGATAGACGATTCCAAACAATGTACAGTGTTTCCTGTTAATATACTGACAAAATTTAAGGGATAATCAATGCATTCGATAAGTTTGAGGCAATTTCATGTCCTCAATTCGAATTTGGCATTTGGGACAATGAAAATAATACATAGGGGCCCGTATATAATATTTTCTACATTCTCTACCCCATGAAGAAATTGGGGGGACACATAATTTAGATACAGGCCTAGTATGAGTATCTTCAATGGTGACAAATCTTGGTAATTTGAATTACTCCGTCTTTCTGGAGGTATGTTTCTTCCATTCTTCCTAGAAACCATTCAATCTTTGCTGATTTTTCACCAACGATAACTACTATTTCTGATGTCTTTATCGATGTACCTTTTTGATGCTTTTTTTTGAACCCATCGTTTCCAATATAGATCCTCTAGAACTTGTGCGAAGATCAACTGCTTTTTATTTAGTAACAAGATTATTTGGGCCAGATGATCTTACACCAATAAAATTGTTAGGAGTGATTGCTTCAGGGTCAATAGTATCGACTGAAATATAAGTTAAAGGACGTGAGTTTATAACAAATGCAGCTTCAAAGAAAAGAGTTAGTGGTTTCACAGTATTAAGACCTCAAGAGATATCTTTACTGACTTCATCATTCGTTATCAAACACCATACATGTTTAGAGCTAGGGATAGTTAAATTTTCAGCGTGTTCTTTGAATGCTTTATCAGAGATCCTTTGATCATCTAATGAGTCAAACCAGCCTTTTAACTCTTGTTTGAACTTAAAAAATTAGTTCAAATCTGTCCAAATCTCCTTAGACTTTCCTCTTCTGCAACAGAACCGACGAATGGGCATAATGGAACTAGTTTTTAAAGTTAAAACTAATTCTTTGTAAATCGCTCTTATGGTTAGAGGGCCCTGGGCCCTATCGGACCAAAGAGGTCAATGCCGCGACATACGAAAACGTTTTTGAATCTTTTGGAACTTTAGATTTTTTATATAATGCGTCATTTTTGGTTGTAGGTGACTTTAATGCATCCCAACTACGTAATTCTACCTTTTGTAATAGAAATATCTTATTACTTAACAATTTCATGGAGTTCTTTGCACTTATCACGAAACAATTTTGTATACAATGAATATCACAAAATTTAAGACTTAGTTTTATGTAATAAGTTTATTTTGGATAAGAGATCTATGGAACCATTAGTTGCGGAAGATAAGTATCACCCATCATTTGACATAACTTGTATTGCTCTTGGTATACCACAGGTAAATAAGAGATTTGAAAGCTCTTTTCAGCAGGAAAGCAAATTTCCCAGATATGTATGACTTGTTGTCAAAAGTTGACTGACAATTTTTAAAAGTGTTTCAGGACCCCAATGAAGCTTGCTCCTATTTTTACGGAAAGTTATACATATTTGACTCTAAAACGAAATATCCGCCATGGTTTGATAGTAATATCATTTGAAATATTCATAAAACATGACAAAATTGGCGTAAATATAAATCTAATAATGATATTTTAGCTTTCAGCAAATTTAAAAGATTAAAGACAATCATAAAAAGTGATATTAGTGTGCCCTATAAACAATTAATTAAAAAATCTGAAGATGAAATATCCAATCCCGAAAAATTTTGGTCTTTCATTTCAAATAAAACACAGTCGACTCGTTTGCCCAGCAGAATGCGCTACAATGAAAATTACTTTGAGAATCCCCTTGAAATTATTAACAGATTTGCTGACCTTTTTTGTAAGCCTTACACTGATTCTACTGAGCCAAATTCCGAGGTTTACCTAATAAATGTATCAAATTTAAATATATATTCCTTTACCTAAGATGAAGTTAAAAATACGTTAAAATCAATAAAACCTAAAATGACTATTGGGCCAGATAATATTCCATCCTTTGTTTTGAAATACTGCGCTTCATTTCTCCCTCATTCTTTAAAAGTTCTCTTAAATATTTGTCTCAAATTTTGTTCTATCCCATTTATCTGGAAATGCTCTAAGGTCTGCCCGGAATATCGTCCAATTTCAATTATTAGTAATTTCTGTAAAGTGTGAGATGTTACTTCAAAACAAAATTTATCATTATGTCAGTAATATATCAACAAAACAACATGGATTTATGAAAGACCGTTCCATTGTTACCAATCTTATAGCTGTAGATGTAATATAAATCGACTTTTCCAAAGCATTCGATCGGCTTGATCATGGTATCATATTAAATAAACTTTCGTGCTATGGTTATTCCCAATCACTGTTAAATTTATTTGTCTTACTTTTCCAACTGAAAGCAGTATGTTCAGATTAACGGTTTCAAGTGGACTCAATATCTGGCAACTTCCGGTGTTCCGCAAGGTTCTAATCTAGGTCCTTTATTATTTAACATATTTATAAATGATAGAAGCAATATTTTAGATACAGATATATAAACTTTCTTCTATACGCCGATGATTTAAAGTTGTTCTGTCGTAGCGAAACGGTTGGGGACTGTGAAAGGCATTCTCAATAACAACCTTCCTCTTAACTCGAAGAGTAACCTCAGAAACATACAAAAGAGATGCAAAATAGTATTTGAGGAACTTAAAAGGCATTATATCTTCAAAATCTAACAACCATTTTTGCCAAAATATCATCAGGAATTTTTCTATACTTCTTGTGTTAGTGCCTGAATTTATATTGGAGTTAGAAATCCTAAAGGGTCAAAAATTGACATAATAAATCAAATAATTTCCCCTTTAGCTAGTATCTTTATTTCAGAAGGAATTTTTTTACTATTTAAAAAGAAAATGAATTCATCACATTGAGGAAACCAATATAATCTACTTTTTATGAATTAATTTTGATTTGACTTTAAGAAGATCACCTTAATTCTTTAGGAATAGATCCTAAAACTTTCTTAGAATTGGTTATCCGTTTAACCATTTGAAATCCAGCCTTGTTATGGACAAATACGACATCAGCAACCCTTCTAATAACTGTTTCTTCATCAAAACAAGAATGGAGATATTCGTTAACATAGTGTTGTCTCTCCATACACCTGGAAAATCCTTTTCAAATTCGGACGCGTTTTTATTTTCAACAAACTGGGCAACGAAAAAAGAAAAACAGCTTCAAAGATTAAAACACTAATTTGACACACTTTAGGATCACAATTTCTTTCTATAATCCTCCAGAAGAAATGCTGTGCATATATATTCATATCTCCGATAAAAGCTATTCTCCCTTGTCTAAAACGCCAGAGGACTGTTACCAAGGCACATAATCAAGACCTTGTAACAAAACACCATTTAGACTTTTGATCTCTAAACGACAAGAAGCATCGTAAAAAAGACGAATAGTATTATTTTTCATAGAGTGCCAAACCTCAAAATGAGGAAAGTAGAGCTCGATTTTTTGTGAAGAGCACACTTCGTCATGTTGTGCAGAAATCAATTTTAGTTTGTAGGCGTGGTCAGACAGATTTAAACGTGATTGAAGCCACCTGCCGCTCATCACCGCTCACACAAGTTGAATTCAGTAGCTTAGTGTTACTTATTTGTACTTGTTGCATTTATTTAGCTATTATGAGTGTGGCATAGCTATGACGAAATGTGCTCTTCACAAAAAAATCGAGCTCTACCAGATATTCTTCGGAGTAACAGCAGCTTTCGATGGTCTTAACATTCTTGCACACTTCTTAGTCATATAATTGTTTAATTTCTGACAGTACTGCAATGCGAAATCAGGATCTTCATTTATCTTCTTTTCCATGCAAAGTAGACGATTATAGGCAAAATTGTATTTTCATCTATCCATAAAGGATCCTCAATTCTAGTTAACGTTTTCTTCATGATGTTCACGGCTTTACAATCTTCGACAGATTTAACAATCGATTCAGGTTTCAAAACGGAAGACTCAAGTTTGAGCTATCTTTAACAAGCACGTGAAGATCTTGTAGATGCTGGCAACAAAGGTTAATGAGTCTAGGAACTTTTTGAGTGATATTAAGAGAACCACTTATGATCCACCCTAGTCTAGGGGCAATAAGGCTGTAATTATCTTGTCCAATCAATATTTGGGGACTTTAAAATTGTAGAATCGAAATATAGAAACTGCTGATATTTTTCTTGAACGTTAATACGTTGTGTTAAAGCTTTAAAGTCTTCACAGATTTTACTCCATTCATCTTGTAGTAGGCAGATGATATATCTAAACTTATTAGCTTTAACTTTTCTTCAAATTGAACTATATCACTGAAAGCACAAAGAAAGTGTAGGTTGGGCTAAGCTTAGACTTTTTGCAACATCTTCATCTATCATCAAAGAGCAAAAGTTTTAATTTCTGCTGTTGGTCTACGAATTTTCACTGGAGGAATTTAAAAAGCTATTAAAACAGCCTTAATAGCTTCTAAATTTAGATTGTCACAGGTTTTTCTTCTAATTTTCTTTCTAAATAAAGAAGTTCATCTTGTTTACTTTTGCACCCATTTTCTACATGTTTCCTATACATTTTTGTGCTATGTGGCTTACTTTTAGACAAAGGAAGCAATATTTCAGAGCCAAAATAGTATCTAGAAAAACACCGCATTTCTATATATTGTGTCAGAAAGAGATTTAAATTCTGTGATAAAGCAACACTAGTCTTAGATGTTTCAGTAGACAGTATTGGCTCCTGTTATCCATAGCATGTTCGAATTAACACGAACGACCGATGTAAAATAATAAATCCATTAAAAATACTAAATTCAAGTACAATAATGGAACTTTTAGGATGTGGATACTTTTCATAAAATTGTTTACAAACCTAAATCTCTTGATTTTATTTAGTCGGCACCCCGCGCATATGAACTATTTGGAACATCATTATTTTCCCTAATAAACCAAGGGACAGAAACTTCATATATATGTCAGTTTTAAATTCAGAAAAAGTAAGTCAATGGGAACAAAAATACAATAACGCAAATATTCATTTTCTGGGTAAAATATTAAGCAAATTTTGTAATAATGTGTAGTTATTCTATTGACCTGTTTTGTGTGGGAATAATAATCAATAAACGTTTTTTAACACCAATTTTCTCCTAATTACATATCTAAACAAATGAATGAATGTTTTCTTAGAAAAATATGTACCTTTATTGATTTTTCTATGCAAATAGGATTAAAACCAGCCCAGTGTTGTTAGACTCCATTAAAAATGAAATGTTATGGATTTTTAATATTAAATCATGAAAATTACTTAATTTAAAGTCATTTCTAATAAACTGAAAGTTACACTTATTATACCTCTTGTTCGGAAATAAAAACTATTACAATTTGTAGAATTTAACAGATATTTTATACCAAACAAATTTTGAGATTAATTGGAATAGGACGTACCAATAAAAAAGGTAAACTTTTTATAATTGGCAACTTATAAGGAGTTAATATTTCTTATTGGTACTGCAAGTTACATATTTTACCAGTCTTTTGTAATTTAGATCTTAATTTTTGTCACATGAAATCCAGAACATTTTTGAATTAATAATGTTTATCATATCATATCTAAATTTTTCAAAAAATATCCTTAATTAGTGGGTATAATAACCTTCAGAATAATGTGAAGTTTGAAGATATTTCGAAGTAAAGTAATGACTGTTTTTATTACCTTATGACGTTTTGTTGTTCTATATTTTGACGTTTTATATATGTTTTGTTTATATTTTATATATGTTTTATATATATTCTATGTTTTATATATTTTATATATTTTTACTTGTCCCATATCATTTATTTTGATCTTATGGACAATAAAATTATTATTATTAAATAATATTTTTCTTCCAGGTCTTTGGCATCTTAGAACAAATGCCCCGCCTCAAATTCGTAAACCTAAGCTTTAACGTCCTTCCACCCTCTACGATCCGAAGTCGAGCTAAACAAAGAAATTAAATGGCAGCAACTCAAAAGCTTAGTCCTTAACTCCACATACGTATCTTGGGACAGCGTCCAAGAGATCCTAGACCATCTACCCAATTTAGAAGAACTCCATCTTAGTTTAAACGATTACAACAACGTCCGATTACATCCTGAGGAATCAAAGAACTGTGATAGTGCCAAAAACGATAACACCGACGAAAAAAACGACGTAGACAAATTGTGTTTATGTAGTTCCTACAAATTGAAACACAAACATTCTAATTTGAAAGTGTTTTACTTCAACGGCAACCCAATAGAAGATTGGAAAGAGGTGGTCAAGTTAGGCTACGCTTTTCCGAATTTAGAAACTTTAGTATTAGCTGAATGTCCGATTAAAACCTTAGATGTTAACGGGGAGGTTGTCGAAGGGGCTAATATGAATTTCGAACGGTCTGACAGCGAGTGTGAGTCCTGTACTGATAAAGAATCGCCGCATGATGGTTTCAGGAATTTAAAAGTGATCAATATGAATTCCACCAACATTTCCGCATGGGATGATGTGGAGAGGCTGGCTAAATTCCCGAATTTAGAATGTGTTAGAATTCAGGTTAGTTTTAAACATATATATACAACTAGCTAGGTGTTAATGATAATAAAATAATTTACTCGCGCCGGCATTTTTGAGCATGCGCTTTTTCAGCGTTAGAAACAATATATAAAAAGATTTAAAAAATAAACTGCTTGCCATTCGAAGTTACACATAGAGATTTTCAGGCAAAATTTAAAGTTAAATATTTTTAACAGGAATGCAAATTTTTGAACGAGGCTTGACGTATATTTGTAAATTGCAACCCTCAAATAAAATGCTTAGACCACAGAAAACCTACCTGAAATAAGGATTCCAAATCTGTAAAAACCATCAAGAACCGTCAATTCAATGTCATGTTATAGCATTTTAATAATTTTGCTACCCAAATTTTATGTTTAGTAGTGTGTACAAGACCTAAGAACCTTAATCCAAAAACTGACAAAAATGTCTAAAGATATTGATGTTACCTTAGTAACGAACCATAAAAAATTTTTGTAGCAATTTCACTCATATAAACTTTTTATTTTTTGCATGACTTCATTGATCACCCCGTATATAATAAATCTATGGTCCTACGAAAAATATATGTCATGCAGCTCAATCCGAAAAAAACTAGCTCTTAAAATCTGAAAGCTGCGTTCAAAAATTTGTATTTCTATTAAAAATATTGAACTTTAAATTTTGCGTAGAAATCTTTATGTGTAAGTTCGAGTGGCTAACAATTTATAATATATTCAATAAATATCGATAAATATCAATAGATATCAATAGATATCAATAGATATCAATAGATATCAATAGATATCAATAGATATCAATAGATATCAATAGATATCAATAGATATCAATAGATATCAATAGATATCAATAGATATCAATAGATATCAATAGATATCAATAGATATCAATAGATATCAATAGATATCAATAGATATCAATAGATATCAATAGATATCAATAGATATCAATAGATATCAATAGATATCAATAGATATCAATAGATATCAATAGATATCAATAGATATCAATAGATATCAATAGATATCAATAGATATCAATAGATATCAATAGATATCAATAGATATCAATAGATATCAATAGATATCAATAGATATCAATAGATATCAATAGATATCAATAGATATCAATAGATATCAATAGATATCAATAGATATCAATAGATATCAATAGATATCAATAGATATCAATAGATATCAATAGATATCAATAGATATCAATAGATATCAATAGATATCAATAGATATCAATAGATATCAATAGATATCAATAGATATCAATAGATATCAATAGATATCAATAGATATCAATAGATATCAATAGATATCAATAGATATCAATAGATATCAATAGATATCAATAGATATCAATAGATATCAATAGATATCAATAGATATCAATAGATATCAATAGATATCAATAGATATCAATAGATATCAATAGATATCAATAGATATCAATAGATATCAATAGATATCAATAGATATCAATAGATATCAATAGATATCAATAGATATCAATAGATAATAAATAGATATCAAAAAATTATTAAGTAAGAATCTTAATTTTCTTATCTACTTCTTCTTCTTCTGCTCAGCATTGTCTGTTCGTTTAGTCTGCCCGTTCTCCTCTATACTATTCTATTTTTACTCCTACCGTTCTGCCTCCTGCCTTATTACTGCTATCTCGCCTTACTAGTTTTCGTTACTCTTTATTTCAAATAAAATTTTCCTTTTTACCTTTTTTTTTATGTTCTTTATTCAAATCTCCATATCATTACAATCAATATTCCCCTTTATCTCTTATCTTTCCATGAAACCATCCTTGACCATTTTACACAAATACCCCTTGACAATTATCCCCTGACAATCGATAATTTTTAAATTCTCAAACTTCCAAATTGACTTCCCCGAAACATTGATTTTCATTTCTATTTTCAAAACCAAACATAGAGTGTTTAATTTTTAGTTAACCAAATATTAATAGATATTAATAGATATTAATAGATATTAATAGATATTAATAGATATTAATAGATATTAATAGATATTAATAGATATTAATAGATATTAATAGATATTAATAGATATTAATAGATATTAATAGATATTAATAGATATTAATAGATATTAATAGATATTAATAGATATTAATAGATATTAATAGATATTAATAGATATTAATAGATATTAATAGATATTAATAGATATTAATAGATATTAATAGATATTAATAGATATTAATAGATATTAATAGATATTAATAGATATTAATAGATATTAATAGATATTAATAGATATTAATAGATATTAATAGATATTAATAGATATTAATAGATATTAATAGATATTAATAGATATTAATAGATATTAATAGATATTAATAGATATTAATAGATATTAATAGATATTAATAGATATTAATAGATATTAATAGATATTAATAGATATTAATAGATATTAATAGATATTAATAGATATTAATAGATATTAATAGATATTAATAGATATTAATAGATATTAATAGATATTAATAGATATTAATAGATATTAATAGATATTAATAGATATTAATAGATATTAATAGATATTAATAGATATTAATAGATATTAATAGATATTAATAGATATTAATAGATATTAATAGATATTAATAGATATTAATAGATATTAATAGATATTTATAGATATTTATAGATATTAATAGATAATAATAGATAATAGATATTAATAGATATTAATAGATATTAATAGATATTAATAGACATTAATAGATATTTATAGATATTAATAGATAATAATAGATATTAATAGATATTAATAGATATTAATAGACATTAATAGATATTAATAGATATTAATAGATATTAATAGATATTAATAGATATTAATAGATAAAAATAGATATTAATAGATATTAATAGATATTAATAGATATTAATAGATATTAATAGATATTAATAGATATTAATAGATATTAATAGATATTAATAGATATTAATAGATATTAATAGATATTAATAGATATTAATAGATATTGATATTAATATCGGTAAATATCCATATTTATCGATAAATACTGATAAATATCGATAAATATCGATAAATATCGATAAATATCGATAAATATCGATAAATATCGATAAATATCGATAAATATCGATAATCGATAAATATCGATAAATATCGATAAATATCGATAAATATCGATAAATATCGATAAATATCGATAAATATCGATAAATATCGATAAATATCGATAAATATCGATAAATATCGATAAATATCGATAAATATCGATAAATATCGATAAGTATCGATAAATATCGATAAATATCGATAAATATCGATAAATATCGATAAATATCGATAAATTTCGATAAATAAATATCGATATATATTTTTGACATGGTTTTCCAGTTCTTCCTCTCTTTTTCTGTTAATTAGCAAATTTTGGTATCAAGACAATTTTTTCTTTTTTTGACGTCTTGTATACTGTAAAGAAAATAATACGTAAGTGTACAAATTGACAAATTATTCATGGAAAAATGGAAATGTTTCGACCATTGAGGTAGTATTATAGGGAGACGCGATCACGTGGTCAAAAACGGCATCAGTCCGCCATATTAATGCGACACTCACGTCAAATAGCTGTCACATTGTTTTGATTTCATTTATGTGATTTGTATTATCAATTTTTCGTGTTTTTATTTGCTTTTTGTGTGATATTTAAATAATATAGTAAAATACAATAATTGTTCCCTGTGCTCTTCGTAACTGCAATAGCAGAAATGCAATTGATAAAAATAAGTCAACAGGAAAAACATTTCATGGATTAGTATACAAAGTGATAATAAGCAGGGTAGTATTTGAAAAATTTATTTTTATATTTTGCTTAGGTTTACCTATTCTATTTTATGCTGTGCAAGTGTTTAATTTTGTCCATATAATAGAAATTTGGCAAGAAACCGTATATAAAATTGTTCAATATTTTAGCTAACAAATAAAGCACAAATAACAAATGTTTTAATTTCAGATTTCTTAAGGAATAAATTTTGACGGTTAGTCGTATGAGTTATTTGCCAGACCCTCTGTCAGAATTTATTATTTTCTATATAGCGGGCTATATTGTTCAATTTTTAAAGAAAAAAATATTTAGTTGCAAACTTGAAACTCGAAAGTATTTTCTCAACATTACTTATTTCAAAATTTATAAATTTTTATACATAGTAATATTAGAGGTTATCAATTATTCTGTTTGAATTTAATTCAATTAACAATGATGCAAGTTTTTGGCTTTTAATGTTTTAATAAATCTAAAATGAAAAACAAATTTTAGATATCACAACACAAAATACATGTCTGAAAAACTACAAAAAACTAAAGAATTAGAAAATAAAATTTGTATGCATGAACATCCAAGGGAATTTATAAATTAGGGGGAATATTAAAATTTTAGTAGATACAGGATCTGAAGCGTCGATTATAAATGAAAAATTAATAGAAGTGCAAAAAAAATTGTATGAACATGCTATTATTGCGTACTCTCTTCTGGAAAATATATTATTTCCGAAAAATTCGGTTCCCTCGTCTTAAAGAGTAAAAATAAAATAATAATGTAATTCCTTACTGTTTTTTTTATCATTATAAATTTTGTTTTAACAATGTTGTTCGTTGCTTTATCTTTTTTTTTTACTTTTTAATTTTGAGGCTTTTCGGCGCCTAGGCGTCGTCGTGCACCACACGACTTTGCTATTATGTACGACGCGGGTCTGTTGCGATATAATCAATAACTTTAAAATGCTACATTAATGATAAATATTTTTAGGCTTGTCCGATATGGGAAAGCAATGAATACACAGAGCACGAAAGGAGGCAGCTTTTAATTGCAAGATTACCGAATATAAAAACATTAAACGGTGGTGGTTTAATATCGGCAGAAGAAAGGGAAGACGCAGAGAGGGCATTTATAAGATATTATATGGATAAGCCAGAAAGTGATCAACCAGAAAGGTAAGTAGCTATCATTAATATAGTATAATTAAAATAGTTTTTATAATTATTCTATAATAATCTATTGAAAATCTTTTTAAATCGATCTACATATAGGTACATATATCAGCTATTGTTATTTTTATCATAGTTAAAAAACCTTTTGGTACAAATTCTATCTCAAAACAACATATTTTCAATTTTTCCCTTGTATCAAAGTGAGAAGTGACTATTTTCTTTTCAGAAATTGTTTTACTGGTTTAAAATAAATTAGTAAGACTTTCTGAAACTATCTGTTGTCTGATACCATCCATACACTAAAAAAAAGATGCATAAACAAAATATTATTAATGTGTTGAATTTTCTCGTAGGTTTTGCAGTTAATAAATAAAAATGGATTGAAAATGATTGACAGTATTTAATTTATTTTTGTTACTCCTATAAAAACAGACTTAACAAACTTAACTCAAATATAGTACTTAGTAAACATATAAAAGGAAAAGCTAATAACATTATAAGCTTCAACACTTTCCTCTGTTAAAAGCTCTTTTTTTTATTAAGTAAGTCCCATTTTACCACAAAATTTTACCAATTTAATTTTTGGTAAAGCTTTAGTCCTAACATCCGCAACTTGGTGTTCTGTAGGTATTTGCTCAATAGCTAGTTTTCCTTCCATAATTTTCTCCCTTATAAATAAATGCTTTGTGTCTATATGCTTGGTCTTCCAATGAAATTCTGGATTCTGTGCTAACTTAATTGCAGCTGAATTATCTACTTGCAAGACAGGTACATGTGCAAGTTGCGTTGCGTCTACTTTACCATATAATTTTTTTTTGTAGCTTTATTTGCTACAACTATTTCTGCTTCAGTTGTAAATGTAGCAACCATACTTTGTCTTTGCTTCTTCATATGTTTCTGGAGTTTTAAAATTTTGAATGATTTACTCAGCAATTAAAATATAGTCATTAAAGTGTGAAGGTACTTTAAGTGTAAGTTAAATTTATTTAACTCGAAAATACTTTTTTAAAAAAACAAAAATTTACTTTTTGAAAATTTAAGACTTTATTTGACACCTGCATAGCAACTACTTCGTATGCATCCACAGAAATTGTATAATGTTCTCTATCTGTATTAAATTGGTACAGTTCATCAAATTTCTAGAGGTGTTCGACGCCCAGACAGAGAACGCGCTACGTGTGACTAAGATAGCTATTGTACAGTCTGCTAAACAAGTTATTTTAAATAGTTTTTAATATTTTTAGGTAATTAAATTTTAAAAGTGTGGAATAGTTTAGGGATTAAATTGGTCTGATTGGACTTTCTTAGAACGTTTTTAAAAGCAGCTAAAGATAGTATGTAGAATTGAAAATAATTATTATGCCATAAAAGGTGTTTTGGAATTCCTTCAACCTTTTGAAATTGAGTCAGAAAATATAAATTTTATAGGATAGCGGAAAATACCTATAATTTTTTTGTAGGCCTTTGTAAATCGTGGAAATAGTTTATATTTTATTTCTACCTTATTAAGGAAAATGGTACCTATTATTAATAACGGTTGTTTCTGAAACATTACTAAAATTTTCGAAATTTTGTTTTTCTACAAAATAATAAACTATACTATTTAGAAAAAAATTTATTTCTCTTATAATTTTATAAAAAATAACAGGGGAATATTTACATTTCTTGATCTATTAAACAAAACGATAAATTATCTCGACGAATGACACCATGTTCTAGTACGGAAGCTAGCTTTACATTTTTGTTGGTGGTTTCATGGGTTTCATATCAATTTTTTGTAATTGTAGTTTACACGAACATATACCTCTTAACACTTGTTTGCTTTATTAAAAAAGTGTGTTGTTGTGATTTACGTCGAAATAAGTCAAAAACAACTTGAAACCCCATATAAAATCAAAAAGGAGAAACGGAAAAAAATTGAGCACACAACAGTTGTACGTCTTGCCTCTTAAATGTAGTGTTGTTACTAGCTACATATTGTTTCAATTATGCCCACACTAATTCGATCGGATTAAGATCGGGATGATACGGTGGCAAACGCAAACAACTAAAACCATGTTCATTTATCATTTCTTCAATTGCATACCTCTTAAATCGTGACTTATGCAATAACACTAAACTGTATAATTGCGTTTTGAGCATATCCTCTTCGTAAGCAATATTATGATTCCTTAACCAATCCTGCATGTCAGCTTTTTTAGAAGTTGACGTTGGTGCTTTATTTACTATCACAAATTGTTTTTTTTTATTATTATTTTAACTGCTTTGTCTTCTACGAAAAAAAAGCTATGTGTGTAGGCCCATAACCTATTAATGTGTTGAATCTTCTCTCTCTTTTACAGTTAATAAATAAAAATGGATTGAAAATGATTTACAGTATTTATTTTATTTTTGATACTTCTATAAGAACAGATTTAACAAACTTAACTCAAATATAGTACATAGTAAACATATAAAAGAAAAAGCTAATAATATAAGCTTCAACAAATATGTACCTACTTATAACTTTGCTACTAAAAAAAAATTACAAATAATTTTTTTGTGATTTCATATTTTGATAAATAACAAGTTTTTATATTTTTTAAATTAAGGGTACTGTATACTGTTGAACCTAATTTATATTTTTTGCCTTCCCCTCGTAAATCGTATTTTTTTTTTAACTATTTTAAGTGAAGCACCAAATTTGATCAAAAATTTCTCAAAAATCGACAATAAATGGTGACAAACTTTTCGATGCACACTGTGTTATCTGTAACTTAGACTTCACTGGAGCCTTCTAAATTGATAAGATTTTCTTAGCTCACTGTTTTTATTTTTTTAGGTATTTTGAACTAATCAAGATCCACGGAAAATTAGACCCGTTGGTAAATGTCGATCTACGACCGGAAAAAAAGGTTAAAGTCACATTCACGTGTGGAGAAAACAGCGAAGTCAGATCTTTGGATCTCTTCCGAACCGTTTGGAACCTCAAAGTCAAATTGGAAGGATTCGCAGGATTCTCCGCCAACAAAATGAGATTGTTTTATGTAGACAAGGATTTAACCGATATACAGGTTTGTTTTAATATATTTATATAATTATAATTATTTAAATACTAACTAATAAAAAATAGCTCTTCTATAGAAAATATTTCTTAATATTTCCTAACATTTCTTAATATTTCCTAACATTTCTTAACATTTCTTAACATTTCTTAACATTTCTTAACATTTCTTAACATTTCTTAACATTTCTTAACGTTTTATAAAAAATTTTAACTTCTAATAACGTTTGTTAACATTTATTTACGTTTATTAACATTTAATAACGTTTATTACAGTTTATTAACGTCTATCAACATTTATTACCGTTTACTAACGTTTATTAATGTTTATTAACGTTTATTTACGTTATTAACGATTATTAACGTTTATTAACGTTTATTTACGTTTATTATTGTTTATTAACGTTTATTAACATTTATTAAAGTTTACTAACGTTTATTAATGTTTATTAACGTTTATTTACGTTATTAACGATTATTAACGTTTATTTACGTTTATTAATGTTTATTAATGTTTATTAACGTTTATTAACATTTATTAAAGTTTACTAACGTTTATTAATGTTTATTAACGTTTATTTACGTTATTAACGATTATTAACGATTATTAACGATTATTAACGATTATTAACGTTTATTAACGTTTATTAACGTTTATTTACGTTTATTAATGTTTATTAACGTTTATTAATGTTTATTAACGTTTATTAACGTTTATTAACATTTATTAAAGTTTACTAACGTTTATTAAACATTTGATTACAATTAATCCTAGGATATAAAACTAACCAGATATCTTTTTAATTTTATATTCTGTATTATACGGTTAAAAGTACGTGTCAAATATATATTTCACCTTAGTTTTAATGATGTCTTGCGCTTAATTTTCATGCTTTTTTAGGTATATTGCATCGTTGTCATGTCCATTTGAAGCGAAACTAGTCATACCGTCTTATAACGTTCAATAATGTTTAACGTTTTTTTAACCAGTTTTAATGATTTTTAACGTTTTTACATATTTCTAACGGTTTTTAACGATTTTTAACGATTTTTAACGATTTTTAACGATTTTTAACGATTTTTAACGATTTTTAACGATTTTTAACGATGTTTAACGGTTTTTAACAGTTCTTAACGATTTTTAACGACCTTTAATAATTTTTAACCATCTTTAATATGTTTTTAATACATATTAACATTTTATTATTGTTTTTTCTATTTCCGAGATTTCAATATGGAATAATATACCATTGTAGAACATAATGGTTGTGATGTTGTATGGTTCCATTGTTTAGTTTTTAAGTTTAAATTATAATTATATTTATAAATAATAGTTATTAATTTTTTCAATTAAAAAGTAGCCTCTTTTACTTTGTACATTCACAAAAACATTTTTATTATTTAATGAAAATTTAGACAAAAGATCCGATCTATTTACTTAAAATGTGATATTTTGCCTTTGAAATTAAATGATTAATCTTTAAGTTCACATTGCACAATGACACCATATTATAATAAGTTTAAATATATAACGATAAGATCTAATAAGTGGGTAAATCCAATGATTTAATCTTAATTGCACATTTGTGCATAAATAAATTGTATTTTTCAAATCAAACAATGGTATTAAATTATTATACTATTATAATAATAATAATAAATAGTAATTTTGATGGGGCACGTTTTCAAAACACATGTCTACAAGACGTTCACTTAAATCTAGGTTTACTATGAAAGTCAATCGCTCACTGTGTTAACACTGATACTATCAAAAAGTTCTCTTTGTCAGCAGCTTACGAAAATGCTGTTCTAAACTCTTAAGTCCCTCTCTGCCTTATTTAGGCCTCCACTTGACTGATTATACAAATTAATCGAAGAAATAAGTAAGTTTTTACACAATAGACCCAATAAACGTTAATAAACCTTAGTAAAATTCAATAAACGTTATTAAGTTTTAATAAACTTTAATTAACATTTTTAAACGTTAATATAAACATTAATGAAGGTTAATAAACGTCTTTAAACATTAATAAACGTTAATAATAGTTAATAATCGTTAAAAACGTCAATAAACGTTTATAATCGTTAATAGACGTCAATAAACGATAATAAACAATAATAAACATTAATGAACGGCGAGAAATGTTAATAAACGGTAATAAATGTTTATAAACGTATATAAACGTTTATAAACGTTAATGAACGGTAATAAACGTTAATAAACGTTAGTAAACGTAAGTGTTATTGAACAATTTCTCTTACCTATCAAAGTGTTGGCCATTTTTATAAGTAAAAGTTATTTTTAATTGGTCTAAAATTCTTATATTTTTTGAAAACTAAGCTACCTCTAGCTCACAAACTTATAATATTTTGTTTTCTATTAATAAAATTAAGCTTTTTCTCTTTAAGAGTTAAATTTTTGACTCTACTTTACTTATTTGTTACAAAATAGTTGTTCTTTGTTTTGAGGGTTGTTCAAATTGTTTATCACTGTAACGATAGTCTAATTGATTTATAGTTTATTTATTTAAAACACACTATTTACAATTTATTTCAGACGTACTATTTAATTTATATAATACTTAGACATTAATTTACAATTCTAATTTATTTATTACACTTTAACTTTTCATTCCAATATTCCAAACTAAACTAAACTGTGCGCTGATACGTCGGCTATTTATATTAGTCTAACTCTGCTACTAGAAGACACTAGAGACTCTCGAACATTCCATTTCTATGACTAAACGACACTCTCCGCCCGTTCTAGCTGTTTCTAGTGCGTCAGCGGCAGGCATTCCTGAACGTTCCGTCGCCTCGAGCATGAGTCTGTTGCCATCTGATTGTCGCGTGTACACAGGGTAGGCTTTAAGAATTTCATGACATAATTCCTCCTGTAACTAAAACTGAATGGTTGTATTTGCAACTGAATCCTCTTTTACAATTTCCAGTTGCATGGAAGTAACAAGGGACAGTCTTTGTTATAACCTGAACGCTGGGAGAATGGCTGCAGACCAGTATTTCAACCTGGGTATCTTGAAACATTACTTCCACCATGTTTCTAATGATATTCCAATTCAACTGGTTGCTCTCTATCTTTGGCATAGCTAGTTTCTGTACATTCGACTCCAATACATGCTCCCTCAGACTGAGTAATGCTTCCCATACATCATGATAGGTGGATCAATTTCGGAAGGTGTTCTTTGTTACCAAATAGAAAAGATAACGCGATCCATCTTGAAGTTTTAATGCTTTTCCAGGGGCTAGTAACTGATCTTGAAGTTCTGGCAATCGACCAAACTTCCTCCGGAATACAGATGCCAGATCTCGAGCGTCGTAGATGTTGGTGGATGTGCTATGGACCAGCGAGTAGTCTTTTGGAACCGTGAGCAGGTCATATCTTGCTTTTCTGGTACCTTCATATGTACCCATAAATTCTTTAAAGACAAGGTCAGGTGTTTCTTGGAGCTGGTTTACTTCTTCTTCCTCTTCATGGTCACCCTCAAATGGCGCCAGCCGGTTTTGGTGCACTACCCTTGGTTTACCGTTCGGGATCTTACTTACACGGTAAATGACATCATTGATTCTTTTCTTGATGAGGTACGGGCCTTCCCAAGACCTTTGAAGCTTTGGAGAATAACCCCTTAGTCTTTTTGGGTTATGGAGCCAGACTTTGTCGCCTTCTTTGAAACATCCTTTTGTGGCTTGGGTATCGTATCGCTTTTTCATTCTGTCACTGGCGATTTGAAGATGTGAGTGGACCAATTCATACATATCGTCCATTCTTCTTCGTAACTGGATCACATAATCTTCACCAGCTACATCTTCTCCAGGTCGACATTTAAATAGGACCTTTGTTTGTGTTTGGCCTGTTGATTCATTGATAATAACGGATCTATAAGCCATTGCAAAGAGCAAAAAATACTAATCCCAATCTCGCTGATGGTTTAAAACCACTTTTGACAGATATTTTCCAATGGTCTCATTCATTCGCTTTATCATTACATCAGGTTGTGAGTACAATGATATGGTTCTAGTTTTCTTCATGCCTAGTATGTTTTAGGTGATTTAATAGGGCCGATCAAAACGATTACCGAAGGAAACGAAACGTATATTACTCAGAGAAGATCTAACAGTGACATTTTATTTTACTCCCGTCACTTTTTGTGAATCTGTAGATTTAAGTCTGCAGCAGTCACGAAGTGAGGAGGGCGATAGTCACTACATATGTCATAGATTCCACGAAAGAGTTGGCTTTCAAAATTTTTGCCTTGGTCACTGTGGATCTCTAGGAGCACACCAGATCGACAGATAAACTCTTTAATCAACACATCTGCAACAGTTGCGGCCTCTTGATTTGGAATGGCGTAGACTTCCACCCACTTCGTAAAATAATCCATAACCACCATCATGTATTTATTACCATTTTCAGTCACGGGGAATGGTCCAGCAATATCTAAGGCGATCCTTTCAAATGGGCTACCAACGTTGTATGGCTTCATGGGCGCCTTTATTTTTCGCTGAGGTCCATTACTCATAGCACAGCTGGTACATTTCTTACACTAGTCCTTTACATCATTGGAACTGTTCATCCAATAAAACCTTTCCCGAACTCTTTGAAGGGTTTTCCTAACACCGAGATGTCCTCCTGATGGACTGTCGTGTAATTGACGTATTACTTCGGCCACTCTACTCCTTGAAATGACCAATTGTCTTCTGTTCTCGGAACCATCATTATTTTCAAGTACTCGCTTCAATAAGCCATCTTTCAGGATAAAGGAGTCTCACTGAGCCAAATACGACTTAAGTACTGGAGAGAGATTAGATACTTCTTACCAAGTAGGTCGACGATTTTCCTCTTTCCATTGTCGCATCTTCTTTAAAACGGTATCGTTCTCTTGTTCTTCTCTAATTTTAGCAGGGGCCCACTCATCGTTCACTACAGTTGTTCTTAGTAATCCACTTTCTTTGGATTCCGCTTTGTTGCACTGGAAGCCCTCTTTTGGACACGGTTTTGTAGACTAATTCCGGCTCTATGTTCGATCTTAAAGTCGTACTCTTGAAGTCGTTCAATCCATCTGGCGATTTGACCCTCCGGATTTTTGAATTGCATTAACCACTTAAGGGCGGCATGATCGGTACGGATTAAGAATTTCCTTCCATATAGGTATTGGTAGAAGTGTTCCACGCATTTCACAACTGCCAGGAGTTCTTTTCTCGTGACGCAGTAATTTTGCTCAGGTTTCGAGAGCATTTTAACTAAAATAACCAAGTACTCTTTCTTTTCCTTCCTGAATCTGTGAAAGCACTCCTCCAATTCCCACATTACTAGCATCAGTATCCAGGATAAATTCTCCCTCTGGGGGGTCGATTCTCGACTCGTAGGAATATTTTCCTATAGGAATTTGTGACACTTTCCTATATGTAGGAAAATGTCATAAATTTTCGATGTATATAAAAATGTCAAAAATTCCTATAGGAAAATATTCCTACGAGTCGAGAATCGACCCCCTGGTAGTGGGTAGCCTAATATTGGCGCTGTTGTTAAATGCTTCTTTAAAGTTTCGAAGGCAGTTTGGCAGTCTTCGTCCCAGCAAAATTCTCCTGCTTCTTTTGTGAGTCGCGTTAATGGTTTAGCAATATCTGCAAACTTCTTTATAAATCTTCTATAGTACGTACAAAGTCCAAGAAAACTTCTTATTTGGTGTTTTTTTTTTTTTTTTGGTTGTGGCCACTCATTGATAGAAGCGACTTTTTCCTTATCTACAGCCACGCCATCCTTGCTGACTGTATGACCCAGGTAATTAACTTTATTTTGAAATAATTGGCACTTCTTGAGGTTTAGCATCAGTTGGACAGCTTGAAAGTCTTTTAAAAACATCTTTTAAGTGTTTTAGATGTTCATCAAATGTTTTCACCAAGACTATGATGTCGTCTAAATACACCAGGCATGTTTTCAAGGATAACCCTCTCAATATATTTTCAATAAGTCTTTCAAATGTCGCATAATCCAAATGGCATAACATTGAATTGCCACAATCCAGATCCGGTGGTAAAAGCTGTCTTTTTTTTTTTGTCTACTAGGTCCATTTCCACTTGTCAGTATTCAGACTTCATGTCTAAGGTAGAGAATAGTTTACTTCCGGCCAATATGTCCAAGGTATCGTCGATACGAGGCAGAGGGTAACTATCTTTCTTGGTAACATTGTTCAATTGATGGTATTCCACACAGAACCTCGTAGTTCCATCCTTTTTCTGGACCAGGACTACCGGAGAGACCCAAGGGCTGGTAGAAGGTTCTATCACCCTGTCTTCCTTCATTTCTTGAACAATCCTTTCAGCTTCCTCTCTCTTGGTCTTTGGTAACCTTCGAGCTGATTGATGACTTGGCTTCGCGTCACCAGTGTCAATTTTGTGTTTTACAATAGAAGTTATTCCTGTTTTTCCTCCTTTTGGTACAAAAATGTCACGATATCGTCGAAGACATTCCTTTATTTTCGTCTTCTCTGATTGATTCAGAGATTGACCAGCGACTGCAATCATTTGCTCGAATTTGTCGTTGGAATTATCAAAAGTTGTTGTCTGACGAATTATGGAAGTTACTGGTACACAAGTTCCGATTCTGGTCTCTTTTTTAATGGTAATCGGGTGATCATTAACGTTTATGAGACGGACTGGAATTTCTTTAGCAGTCGTGACCAACCCCTTTCCGAACAGAATGCCTCGTCCAACCTCTTCATCGTGGTCCCAAGGTTCCATCATGACAGGTGTTTTTTCTTCCATAGTTTCTTGAAGCTGTGCTACTATAATATTTTTTTCGCTCCACCCTAATGGCATTATTAAAATATTCGTCGAAAATTAAATGTTAATGTGCAGCTGGCAGAAACAAATTAAAATCATTCCTGTACAATGAATGTGATTGTCATATCGATCCTGCAGGTGGGTCAAATTTATAAAAATTAATCCATGGAGGGGAGGGGGGCAATTCGGTTAGTTTTTTTTACACAAAACAGATTTTTTTAATTTGTATCCTTTTTGTTGCAGGGTCCGGAATTGATGAAATTTCCCAATAAACGACTGTACAGCTACAACATCCGTAATGGTGACGAAATTATTATAGACTGTAAAACGAAACCCAGTGAATCTAAGTAATTAACCCAAAAGAATGTTCTAAGTATATTCTATATATATATAAGTAAAAAAACAAAAACAAAATGAGCGGCACCTGTTGCATAATTCACCATCCTTTGTTCTTTTAAAATAATATATTTTTTTTTATGAAAACTTATTTTATGGTTGATAAAATAATTATTTAAGATGGTAAGTACAAAACCGATGTTATTTTTTTATACTCAAACTTCTTGTGTTTCGAAATAGTTATTTTCCTAACAAGTGCGGAAAGTGTTACTTTCCCGCACGCGACTGCAGTTGGCCCGAACGACGCGAAGCGGAGTTCGGGCTAGCGGTCAAGTGCGGGAAAGACACTTTACGCATGAGTTAGGAACATTATTTTTTCTACGACCGTATATACAAAAAAGTAGGAAAAATTATTTTTGGAAAATTATTTTATTTCAACATATACAAATCTTTAAATAAAAACAACTAATTATTATGGATATTAATGTTAAATACACAATTTGTAGCATTTTGTAAATTATGTAAAATTGCCGGTACAGAGGAATTAGTTGGTGTTAATTGGCTGTTAATAGTCGTAACGCTCGTAGATTGAAAAGATGACGTGGACGGGAGTGACATCGGTTGCAGGTCGCATGAAGGTGAAAATGACGGTGGCAGCAAAGGTTGCAAGTCATTTCTATTTGAAAGAATTTTATTCGAAATGTTTTTCTTCTGTGTTTCGGAGTCCTCCAAATAGCCTTCAGCGATAGTAGTGGACTTCCAGCCACCGCACATACGGCAATTAGTGGGAATTAGCACGCCAAAAATAGTTGTATTTTTCAAAGTAATTTTTTTGCTTAGATTTAATTGAAAAAACAATGTAAGTTGTTGAATAGACTGCCAGGTCGTCACATTTCACATAAAAATGCATAAAAAGTGGTTTAGAAATAAAATTTTATTTAGTTATCTAATTAAGGCGTCAAGTTTTAATCATTTATATAACACTACTAAAATACGTGAAAATAATGCACATACATTTTGAGAACGCTTTACGTCATTATTTTAATGATTAACTGAAATACAAATAATGTACAGAAATTAGTTTTTTATTCGGAATTATTAGTCACTATCTGGATTTATATCACGTTGTACACCATCTAAACTATAACTTAAGAAAGTAACATACTCAGTACAGCTTCTGAAAAAGGGTTTATTTCACTTTTTTTTTGTATTTGTAATCAGGAGATATGATGACAGTAGCATTCTATTCATTATGTCTCTGTCCGGTTCCAATCTCGATGTCTTCCGTGAGTGATACAACCTTACAAGCTAATACTTCTTCTGGAGTGTATATAGCCATGAATCAAAATATGACGAATTATGAATTTCTTTGGTTTTTTCTCTGTGCGCGGAGACAAGCTTATAGCTAATTTTATAACTTGCGCCGAAGTTCTTTCTCCACTTTTGAACAGACTCATTTCTGCAGCTTTGCAAAGTGTTTCTTTGGACATGCTTAACACAAGAGGTCCTACTTTTCTTAACTTCGACCGTACAGAGCTCTCATCGAAAAACATTTTTGGTCTTCCACGTTTTTGATAATTTCTTACTTCTCCTGCCGTGGGTGTTGCAGAGATATTAGAGTCTAATCTAGGATTTATTATCTATCTATCCATAAAGCATATTTTTTTGGTGAATCTTGCGGGTTGTACCTTTGCATATCTTCCACTTTATGTTAAGTTTCGACAAGAATATCTTTATAGTACATTTAAAAGTTTTTTCCGAGCCCGTGGGAATTTCTGATGTATTAAATTTAATTAATATGTACCGTTCTACTTTTTCAATGCACTTAGCAGTCAACAGTTTAAAGAATTTATCGCTTTGTAGAACAGAAAAAATTTCATTTCTAGTGATTTTGGGGAGATGCGGATCAACGTTGTTGTGACTACCTCTAAACAAAATAACTTGTATCAGACAGAGGACACTTGGGGACGCAAATTTTTGTAAGCTCTTAAAGATAAAGGTCTTATCTAACTATAACATAAAAAACGAGAGTGGAACTCGGTGGAACTTTTTTTGTAGCCCTCGCAGAAATTAGCCGTATACAAAAAAGAATGAATAAAATTAGGTCCACCAAAAGCTGCCGTTATTATTAGGCAAGAAACAAATAAATACATTGTTAATACTTGAATAAGAAATACATACATGAAGCTTCACAGTCCATCTTGAAAAATTTCTTGGATTACAACATTTAAACAACAACACGTACTTTTCCAACAAGTGTTCGCATGCTGATTTATGCGTCAACTACACTTAAAGACTGAAAGTGCACTCTTTCTACCCTTATTACTCTCTTATTTATCCGCGGTTCTCGGTGGCGTAAAGCCAGATAAGAGCACGAATGTATACAGAACAATACTGTGTGGATGAAACATGTTTTTAAAATATCAATTTTTTTTATTTTTAGCGCGCTAAATAAGGATAATTGCCGTATGTGCACCGAGACGTTTTATATTGGTTATCGCTTCACCTGAGTCTGCTAGGAATGTTGCTGAAGAACGTCTAAAACTGTGTCCTGTATATCGTTCAGGATTAGGTAGACGCAAATATGCAATAATCTCTGTTGGCATCTTACCAAAGGTGTTTACGCCAACGCACTGAATTGAGCATTTTCCCTTCTTATAATTAATAAAAAAGCGGCGATGCGGAGTGGTAGGTGGTCGTAAACCTGCGTACTTTCTGTACAGCTTCAGAAAGTTTCCATTATTTATTTCTTCACATAAAACAAATGATCTTGAAGAATGATTTTTGGAATCGGAAATTTTCACAACTATCAGATTGCCTTTATCTTGTATATCATCGAGAGTGATATTTACAAGCTCCGCTCTGCGGAGAGCACCAGCTAAAGCAAAAATGGTACTCACTTTAATCATAAGGTATACCTCATCAGGGGCTAACATAAACCTGGATATATCTTCTTTGGTAAAAACCTGCGCCTTCTGTGCTCGAAAACCAACATTTTTTTGTTTTAGAAATGACGTTAACTTATGGAACTGGCTTATATCCAAATTTTGTTTTATTTTTACTAAACTTTTCACCATCGAATAGCGAGTCCATAAAGTATTAGATTTCAAAAACTTACTTAGGTGCGAAAAATACGCCAGAAACACCTCTTCTTTGTAGGTTTTTACCCCTTCCTGTTTACACCATGTGACAAAATGGTCGTATTGTTTTTCATATCTTCCTCGTGATTTGGCAGGTAACACCTCCAAATGTGCTTCATTTGCAGCTTTTAAAATGGCTTCGGGCAGCTCTTCATCCGATGAATCCATTATTTCTTTAATTTATTTTAATTCAGTTGACGCTTCAACAAACAACTTTGACGTTTTTGTAACAATAACACGCCTTGGTTACCATATAGCAACCACATCAAGCCATACATGTCACAGCCTAGTCTGACTTTTAAAAATATACAGAAGGTATATAAAAATATCTCTATTAATCAAGTTTTCCAAAAAATTAAAATTATAACAAAAAGCAAGAAAAAAAGTAAATTTTATTAAATGGAATAGTTGGAAAATACTAAATTACCTATTGTAACAATAGTTATAACATCCGAGGTAAAAAAAACTATACAATAGGTAAGGCCAAATATTCATAATTTTACTTTCCCGCACTAGTGCGGGAAAATGATTTTTTCCCGCACTAGTGCGGGAAAGTGACACTTTCAAAACTAAAATGCGTGCGGGAAAGTGGGTAAAAATACACGGTTGTAGAAAAAAATCTTATTCTAACAATATTTTCCAATTTTTACAATTTATGTTGTTTTTAACAAATTTTGCAATACCATTTTTTATATGTTTAATATTTGCTATAATTTTCAAACTAATTGACAACAATGGTTATGAATTTTATTCAGAAAAGAATTAATTAAAAATATAAATTTTTGAGCTTTTTTTATTTTTATCTTATTTAATAATATGGAAAAAATAATAATGTTATAAAAAAATGTTCTTGTCTAGTTTTATTCAATATTTTAAAAAACAAGTTTTCATATTTGTTATTAATATTTTATTATAAATATTAATAGCAAATATGATGTAAAAATTGTTGTTTTTTAAAATAAAGGTTTAAAAAACTGGAAAATTTTAACATTACTAATTTTTTCATATTATATTAAATAAAGAAAAGTTAACAAAAATAAATTTCACCTTCAAATTCATTATTAATAATAATTATTTTTTTAACCATAACATTTCCAACCTTTTTTTTATCCATAAATTTTTTCTGACCTCATTTTGTTTTTGTCAATGTTGATAATGGAAATTTTACTAATTTAATTTAAATTGCTTTTATCAGATTTGAGTACTTTCTTAAAAAGGCGATTTGTAAATTGCTTATTTTTAATCCAAAAACCACTTACAAAAGTATGTACTATGTACGAGGTGTTGGTATGTGATAAAGTACTTCAAAATAGAAATAAAATTGCTGATATAATATAAATAATAGAATACAATCGGAATGATTATAAAAATGATTGGTAGTACCCACTGATGTGGTTTACTACTAAATCGAAACGTTTTTTAAATTACAGCATATCAGATTAAAATAATGTAACTCGCTAGTTTGCAACATCGCATATCATTTTTTTAATTTTTTGGTTACCTTAATAAAACTTATTAATTAAGAGTCAATATATTAAACATCCATGGAAATATATTTCGCAAAAAATTTCTTTATTATTCGATACCCTAATCCTAATAGGACGCCTGTTCCTGATTTTTCGAAAATTGCGTATATGATATTTTTGAGTTAAATAATATAATTGAAGAGTAGTACCATATACAAAAGGTGGTAAGTGAAAATTTAGAAATTTTACAGGAGACAATTTATATGTATTAGTTTAGCACTTTCAGGGCCACCAAGAGCCAGGTCGGGCTCTAGGACAATTTTCCAGATCGGACCCCGTGACAATTTTATATAACATTTTTCCTCCTCTTTACTTAAATTTCTCTAAAAAAAAGTTTTTCAATCAAAAACTTTTCCGCCTTTACTTGAATTTTCTAAAAAAAAACTTTTCCTCTTCTACTTGAATCTTAAAAGATCCTCAAGCAAAAACTTCCCTCTCTTGTCTTGTGCCGATCTTCTGAAAGAAAAAGAAAATCCTTGCCACGGTTGCCGGGCCTCCCTTATACCTCTGCCGGGCCCCAATTTGAGCCCGGGAATTAGTCCCAGCTGCCGGGGGCTCTTATCGGTCTTAAGCACCATTTCATCGAAATACTCTTTGGCCATCAAAGAAATGTAAACAACAAAAATGCAGTCTATACCGCAGAACCAAATTTCGTTATGTAGATTTAAGCTGTAGTCTATTTTTATGTATAAGAGAGTATTAAAATAATAAAGCGTTCATAATCCATAGGCGTACCACTTCTTTTAGTAGACAGTTAAAATATTTTTTGAAGTTATTCCTCGAGTATACACTTATATTTTCACCTAATTAACCTGCTTATAACTTCTAAATAGCTGAAGGTAAAAAAGTGCAATTTTTTCTAAAATGTTTTATTTTTCCACAAGGTATGTTAAGAACATTGTGTCAAACGGGTTATGTAGGTATAAGGGTTTAAACTTTGACTTTTAAACAACGTTACGTTCATAAATAATAATTTTAATATAAAAACTACTTACCTACAAATCCAAATCAGAATCGAAATCAGAAGATGAACTGTCGCAACCAATATTTACAATGAGTGGCTCGAATTATATAGTTCTGAGGAAGAAGATCTATAATTTGTTCGAACCACTCTTTAAAGACATCAGCATTCATGTCCTCATGGTAGTCACCGGTACGAGTAGATTCAAAAGTCAATAAACCACCTTTAACAAAACCGTTTGAACTACCGATGTGTACTATTATTAGTCTGCGCCCCTTTCCTGATGGTGGATTTAAACCATTAGATAAATTATTTAAAAAAGCCTGTCTTCGACTTGTAACAGTTTCATCTTGCCAAAATTTATTTGGTTTATGTCCATCGTTGATCCATGTTTCATCTAAATAAAATATATTTCTTCTTTGGTTTCTCATTTCTTTTATAGTCCTTAGGTAATTTCTTCTCCATACTACAATATCGCTTCTTTCTATTAAAATAGACTTTCTGGAATGCTTTTTCCATAGAAAACCTATTTCTTTTAAAAGTTTCCATAGTGTGTTTCGACTCATTTCAGGGTAATCCTTATAATCTCGAACCGTAACAAGAACTTTGTCTACTGTCGGAAATTCTTTTCTAAAGAAAAACGCATGCACTTTCCTTCGAAGTCTTTCCTTCAAAAGATTTTCCAATTGAAATTTTGGTTTTCCTGGAGCTTTACGTGCTGTTTGAAACTTGCCACATTTCTCTTCTTTAACAACTTTAACCAAGCGTACTACTAACTAATTCCACTGTGTCATCAACACTTTTACATAAATGTTTGTCTGTAAATAATTTAAAACAATTAAATACTAATGTTTTTTCATCAACTGTTGAAGGACCGATTTTTTGTCGTTTACGCGGCCCTTCCAAATTTTCCATGATCACACTAGAATTCACACTGCACCTTGCAAGTTGCAACTAAACGACATTTAGTAAACTGTCAAGAATACACAACTTGGACCTCCTTACTAAATGGAAAACCTATAATCGCATTTTCGGTGAAATTTGTTGGGAAGGTATTTATCTACTTATAATTCGATTACTGTAAGAAATTCTTGGAATTAAAATAAAACAAAGTTGGCAAATAGGTACTTATTGAAAATAATCTTAAGATACGGCTATGTAAACTTTAATACACAGGGCTTTCGGCCTGTCCAAACCTTTTTCTATTGTTCTGTACAGCTTATGTTTATAAAGGACTAATAAAAGACCCAAAACTTGTAATAGCTCAGGTACATTTATTACAATTTTAGGAAATATTTAGATTATTCTGTAAAAATATTTAAAATGACCGTACTAAGTTTCGCATTAGAAATGCTGTTTTATTACTCTCTCATACATAAAAATAGACTATAATGGCCTCATTCTAACATATTTTTAAAATTAAATACATATATTTCCTTCAATGCAATAACATTTTTCCCAATGCGTTTTATTTCACTAAAACTATCTACTCAAGCAATGTTTAAAACTGCTTTAATTTAATAAGTCATAAACTATCCCTTTCATCTTCTTCTTACATCTTCAGTTTTTCCTAATAATCTTCAATCTAAGATCCACCTTTTTATTTCTTAAAATACTGGTTAAATTTATTTGCACTCTACTTGAAATTTTTGTATTCTGAAAATGCTGTAACGTTTAAAAAATGCTTTCGATTTATATTTATATTATTAATTAGTAAGGCATTATTTTAAAATTTGATTATTACGCTTTTTAATTATATATTTTTCATAGAATTTCTGGGCAAAATATTATTTTGTCAAAATTATATTAACTTTTAATTTTATTTTAAGACAACCAGACACGTCCGATGAAGATTATACGGATGGAGATGAATTTGAACAGGATTTTAAGTAAATAATAATAATAATTGATCCAACTAATTATAATTTTTACTTTATTTAAAAAAAATAAGTAAATATAGCTCTGTGATACGAATTGTAAAGTTTGGAAGTCACTATTTTTTTTCTAATCACAATTCAAATTACTGTAGATATTTAAATATAAATATATATTTTTAAAATATTTTTGTTATATTTTAATTCGTTTTTAATCGGGGGTAGGTTTTAAATTATCAACAGACGTATGGTTTAAAAATAAGAAGTATATTAATACTTTTTCACATAAAAAACTCAATTTTTCTTAGTTTCAAAAATGTTTGCTAACAGTTTTTGATTCTAACTTTTTAATTTTTGTTATATTTCGAACTTTTAAAAAACATTTTTATAATTTTTTCATTATTGAAATATTCTTTTTGTAATAGTTAAAAAAAATTACACCATACTGTTTGAGTAAAATTAAGAAAATTATAAAGTTTACTTCTATTTTTAATATGTGAATATCTTTGTGATGCTCTTTACTGACCAATAATTTAAAGCTTAGAAAAGCAGCTTGAAGCTATTTTTCAAATTGTGTAACATTTAGATAAGCAGTGCCAATAAAAATAACAAAAAACATTGTATATTTAGTTTGTTAGTTTTTTAGATGCACATTGAATAATTTTAATTTTATAGGTACTTTAAAAATATATTTGAAATTCGCAAAACTATACAGTGGTTTTTCACAAAATGAAATACAGGGTGTCTGTAAAAGGTCTTTACATACCACATATTCCTTAGACCAAAATAAGTCGATTTAAGTAAAATTACCTTAGTACAAAGTTGCTTCGTTTGGGCTCCAGAGGGCCTTGAAGTTACAATTTTTAAATCGTTTTTCCCATATAAATTTAAAACGGCATATGCGATTTTGCTGAAATTTGGTATATTGGTAGAGTTTTATGTGGCAAAAAAAATGATATTAAAATTTTGTCCGATAATAATACATAGGCGTAGAACTTTATTTTTTAAATAATTGCACCTTTAATAATTCTACGCCAATGGAAGAAAAGAAGTTTGAGTATGAAATTTAGATTGCGCAACTCATTTACTTTAAAAATAAGACTCGATTACTCTCATGGTTTTCGCTAAATTTCTGTTTTAATAATTTAGAGTGTATAGGTTTCACAAAAATATTTATTTATAACATAATCAAAATAGATTTTACAAAAATTGTTCAAAATGTTCACCATTTTTAACCGACTTCAAAAAAGGAGGAGGTTATCAATTCGTCGCGATATTTTTTTTTTATGTATGTTCAGCGATTATTCTTTAACACGGTGTCCGATTTCAATGATTCTTTTTTTGTTAGAAAGGGGGTACTTCAGGGATGGTCCCATATAAATTTGGTCAAAATGTGATAACTTGGTCCATGAGAAATTCCTCAAATTCTTCATTTTTCATGTATGTTTAGCGATAATGCTTTACGACCTTGTCCTATTTATATGATTCTCTTTTTTGTTCGTAATGGGGTACCTCAGGAATGGCCACATATAAATTTGGATAAGATGTGCTGACGGCATTTGCACGTTTTTGAAGTCGGTTTTTTTAAATTTTTAATTTAGATCACTTGTATAATAACTAAATTTAGTTAATAAGCTTCATGCCCACCAAATAAATGCATTCGGGAATATCTGATAGAGTTCTAGCAGAGATAACCAGGAGATGTAACTATTAAACAAATATCGTGCGGCTCTGAATAAGACCTATTCTAAGGGACACAGTAGGGTATAATATCCGCTATTGTCATATTAGTAAAGTGTATGTATTAAAATATTCGCTCAAGAAAACTATTTACCTCCCACTCTTTTGTCACAAGCTGAATTTTTCACAGATGAAAGGTCACGATAAGGTAAAATGTTATTTTAATTTAAATCTGACCATTAGGGCAATTTTACCTAATTTCTTGGGAAGGTAGGCTTATTGGAACTGGTTGTCAGTGACTAATTTGCATAATTTTGTTAATCCGAAACCCGCTTAAGTATAGCGAACAGAGTGTAGCAACAATAAAACTCTTATAATCAACGGTACCTGATTCAAATATACCGGGAAGGTAATAAATTGGTACATTTTTTCCGTTTTAAAAATGAACAAAATTTTATTGAAATCTGTCAGAAATAAAATTATCTATGTACCACGGGAATTAATGGGAATTAATAACCTTTGCCTTAATAAACTTTGTCATCAGTAATTAAGGCCCTTGATACATAAATAACTATTATATTATGTTTATGACAATGCTTACCTTTAATATAATCTTTTTTTTTACTACTAACATGAGAAATCACCATTATTTACTCCATTCCTCTAATGAGAAGTAATATTTCTCTCCCTAGGTAAATAATGATAATAAAAAAAAACCTTAGATTAAAGAGACCGAAGATGTAACATTGCACACTGCGCATGTTGTCTATTTTAAGCCAAAGTAACCCACCAATTGATAATCATTGTTGCACGACGCCACCCGAATTGCTCCGATTTCCATTCAGCGATCACACCTCCACCTGAGTTTAATCACCATTGACAGCTGTTTTTTGATTTATTTGTTGGTATTTTAGCAATTTAAAGTGTTCTAGTTATTCAATTTCAAGTTCAAAATGTCACGATGTATCTTGAAAAATTGTATGTACTTATAATACAAGTACTACTGTTATGAATATATTCGTTTTCAGCGGTAAATATTTATTAACGTTTTGACATAAAGCGCCATGATTCTCTGGGCTGAATACTTCAGATCCGCATTAAGGGGTTTCAATAAATATTAAGCATCAGAAATCAGATTTCATATTACTTACATAAATTTACAAAAGGGTAAAATTTTGAACATTTAATTTAAATAAATAGTAAATAGGCATTATTGCTAACGAAATTTTGTATTTAAAAAGTAGTTTTATAAGAATGCTTTCTAAAGGTAGTTTTTAGCCCTTTTTGGTAGATAAATAAGAGGTAAAGAATCATAGTTGCTAGCTAAATTTTATCTTTATAAGGTATTTTTATAAGGTATTTTTATAAGAATATTAGATGAAATACAGGATGACCTACTTAAAATTTCAAGGTTCATCTTATTTGCGGTCAAATTGAAAGCGACATTGAATTTTCAGTCTTAAAACAAAGTAGTCTAGTATAAGCAAAAAAAAATACTAAAGTTACAGGAGTTAGGTCCGATTCCACCGTTGTGTTAAACGGAGATTAAAATGACAGTGTTAATGTACAAATGTCGTACAACGGTGGAATCGACCCTTAGTCACGTTAATAAAATGTTACATTACAAACCCCTAAACAACTCGAACATAATTTTCGTTTACTAAAAAAAATCCAAAATTTAGCAATATTTATTTATTATACAAGCGAATGCGATTTCAAAGATAACTGGATCAAAAAATCCGAATCTCTAAATTTTGGAGCTAAATGCTCAGATAAAAGCAAGCGACCGATAGGGGTTACAAAAATAATCGATTTATCGATAATTCTGATATTTTTTAATGAAAATCGATTTATCCGCTGTTTTTAATAAATTATTTTCGTTTTTTTAAGATAATGTATTAATCGATTTTAAAGGAAATACAAAAAAAAGTAGATTTATTCAAAATAATCGATTTATCGTTTAATCGGTTTTTTAATTATTTGATTGTTTTCGATTTTTCAAAGATATTATATGAAAATAATCGATTGAATACAATCGGTTATTTTACATAATCGATACTTTGGTTATTTTTTTTAAAATTATCGATTTATTGGATAATCAGCTTTTTAATAATCAATTATTTTCGATAATCGAATAATCAATTTCAAAGTATATATGAAAAAAGGATTATTAGAAAATAATAGATAATTCGTTTTATTTTTTGGAAAATCGATTTATCATAGAATCGGCTTCCTAATTAATTGGTTATTTTCGATTAGGCGATTATTTTGGAATTATTGATTATTTTTGGTATTTCAAAGATAATCGAATTATCGATTTTAAAGAAAATACAATAAAATAGATTATTGATAATAATCGATTGATCGAAAATAATCGATTATTTAAAATAATCGATCATTCTGTTTTTTTGAAAATCGATTTGTCAGTTAATCGACTTTTTAATTAATCGAATATTTTTGAAATACAATAAAATAGATTATTGGTAATAATCGATTTATCTTCTTAATTAATTGATTATTTTTGATTAGGCGATTATTTTGGAATTATCGATTATTTTCGGTATTTCAAAGATAATCGAAATCGATTATTTTCGATTTTTCAAAGATTATCGAATAATCTTGTTTCCATGAACGAAAAAAAATGGTTTATGTGAAAATAATCGATTATTTAAAATAAACGATAATTCTATTTATATTATATTTTGTAAACACTGATTTATCGGTTAATTGGCTTTTTAATTAATCGATTATTTTTGATTTTTCAAAGATAATCAAGTAGTCGATTTTAAAGGAAATGACAAAAAATATATTGTTTGAAAATAATCTATTGATCGAAAATAATCGATTATTTTCAATGATCGATAATTTATTTCGATAATCACTCATCCCTAGCGACCAAATGACTTATAATAGATTTAAATTTTAAAATGTTATCTGGTTTCAGACATATGCATTTCTAGAGTTTTATGTGACTCATCCTTTATAATAATTAATATTCTTAAAGAAAGAAGCCTTAATATACTTTTTTCTGAGGTTACAATACAAAACAGCATTTTCTCATTTTGACTAATTTTTAATATGTAATAGCCGTAGAAAAAATATAATGTTCAACTCATAAGGGTAGATTTGCAGTATTAGCCTGCGCACATGCTATTTTTATAATACTCGTAGACAATGAGTAACATTTTTTGCTCTATTAACAATATATTCTATTTCAACATTTTACTGTAATCTCTTGCAGAAAAGTCCGTAGTAAATAAACGCTAACGAAATATTCTATAAAAGGTATTCTCTTTACATAAAATGTCGTGGCATCTGTTTGATATTAAAAAATCACGATAATTTGATTTCATAATACAAAATTCGATTAAACACCTTTTAAATAAACCTAATAGTTCATTAAGATGCTAATAAACAAAGTCCGGTCCCTGTCACAGAGTTCGGGTCGCCGCGTGTCGCCGCCCAGTTCCCCCACTCCGTTAACCCTTCTTTAGAAATTGGCAACATTTGCGCAGGTTTAAAACCGGTGTATGTTATATCT